GCCGTGCATTATTTCGTATAACGTAAATCGATTGTGAAAAAGTGCGGCAGGTCAGATGAGACTATCGATCATCTTTTTTGACTGCGAGAAGATTAATGACAAAAGGAGGACAACGTTGGAGAATTTGTTACGAAGTAGTCATCAGCAAGATGAGGAGTAAACTAGCAAACTTCAGGTATTCACGAGGAGTTGAAACACGAATTGCATCTCCAGGAACTCAACTAAAAGAGGTGTGCAAACATCAAGAATGGCATGTCTAGGGACATCAGTCGGCCCATTGCTAATTTGATGAGATAAGACAAGAGCAAGGGTGTATAAGTTGTATAAGAGTTACAAATTTCAGATTTGTCCATCCGATTCAAATAGCTGGATATTAACGATCAAATTTTGCTTATTCAGCTATGGTGTATTCGTACTGAGAAGAGTATAGATAGCACAGTCATCGTGGACAATTACGTTCAATGTTCAACGCGTTATGAATGTTGGACGTCAGATCTAACGCATCATTCGCTCAATTAGCAAACATAAACAGTGTCTTGGTTCAACATGACGTCTTCTCAGAACTTCTGAGATGCCATTGTTGATGATTGAAAGATGGTGTAAAAAAGTATGTAACTTATTTCCGTCCAGTATGATTTGTATCAGCATCAGTAATTTTATTATCCAAAACAGGTATTTTAAAGATATGTTTTAATGTGATAAGAATAAAAGTTCAGTAGATAGATTGAAACTTAAGAGAAAATATGCAACTGGTTTATCAGGTGCAATTCAACAAAGACGGGATCAGATGAATACAATAATATTCATATTATGTCAACTGCGTTTAAAATTGTTTGAAATCCGATGCTGTGCAATAGATTGTATTTGTGAAAAATTGAATGGCAAGGTACAGTACTTTGTAAAACTAAACTATGTCGATGTAATACTGGTATTAAAAACTACGATACGAACTGTATGACAAGTCTAGTATCCGTTAATGCCATTAGTGTATCAATATACTTCTTTCGTCAGTGATAACACTAATATATTTAAATATACTTAAATATGTGTTACATATTTAAATTAAGTGGATCCAAGAACAGCATTTTATTCTTTTGAACTATTACATTTACAGCAACAAAATTATCAAAGTATGTATAGTAGTACTAACCAAAAATACAAATTTTGGATCAAATATGAATTCTACATCATGCAGTACACACGTTATCAGATGGAAATCATTAATGAGAGCAACGGTCGAGTATAGTATAAAATTATCCTTATTGGGAAAAAACAGATCACAAACCTAACCTCAAAAGGTGGTGGTTTATAATTACAAACTAGACATTTTTGAAAACAAAGCTACTATTTGCGATTTGTTAGTGCTGTCGATAGTAAGATGTACTACTAGACATGCGTTTCTTCCGATTCATTGTGGGCCAATAACTTCTATACATTTCTCGTAAATATAATACGTCATTTTATGGCAGCAAAGTATTTATATTCTTGCAACAAAAACTAGTTTATGTAGGTCTAAGCTTTATGTCTACTCTGAGTCATACGGCTGTCTTATGACTATCGACCATCCTAAACTCAGATTATCCTAACGTTAGTTATCGCAACACTTATCACCCGAAATCATATCATTCGACTGCAAACCACATAAATTTGGAAGATTCGGATGATTATGTTTACAACTAATACTTGGTTGGTAAAATGAAAACGGGTACTATACTGATAAATTTAGTTTTTAAATCATAAATAAGAAGCACGACATCCTTGGGTTTTGTTTACTGGATAGTGTAGTTGTCAACACTTTCTAATTTAATTCACAATCGCATTTCTTGTACATAGTTGTTTTCCTAAACTTTCTAGTGATCTATTTCTTACTTTCCTCGAGCCTTGGGCTGGTTATGCAGTGTTGGTATGTAAGGTTGTTGTTTGTTGATTAGGATACTGTAGGTCTAATTATTGGGCATTTGTAATATGTAATCAAATTAATAGTTAAGAAGCTGTACACGGGGTTTTTTTAAGAGCAGTCAATTTATTATCATACCTAATACAATAAAAAGAACCAGGAAAACTTAAAGCCTATTGTCAAGAGGTGACAAATATACAAATGATACTTTTTCGTAATGCAAACATCACAAGTAATACAATTAAAGTTTCACCTTTGCGAATTAATACTACAATCTGCCTAAAAGGTTGGATTTAATTATGGAGTCGACACAAACTCTAACTGGTGTTGACCTGTTTACTGCCTCAGAACAATTAACTAATTACAGCCAAGCTTGGATACAATAGATTTGCTCAAGTGGTAAATATATTTAATTAATTCACGTCGTCTAATATGACCGGCGCCAGCGATGGCTAGGCTGAGATTACCACAGCATATCATTGCCATAGAATTGCCAAGTTTCTTAACGAGATCCAAGAATCGTCTTAATACTTAATGAACTTGTTTTAGTAAAATAAATATACCTTTTGTTTCTGTAAATAGCCAGATCATCACTTTTCAAATTATTTATTTCTATTATTAGGCTTACCATTTGAGATGAGGACGTTACTTAAGTGGTAATTTTGCATTTTGTCTGTACGCTCATACATTCATACGTAATACTTTGGTAATACCATACTACTGTGCTGTACTATACTCACCCCTTGGCACGCTGCACTCATTGGTGGGTGTTGGCCTATTTGCAGTACTGTAGTTGATTTGGCAAAAATAGTTTGTTACTGGGAAATTGTTATGTATGTAAAATACCAATACTTAAAGGCAGGAGAAAATTTCGCCGTTTAGGACAATTACATGCCTTCATAAGCAGGTTTCAAAATATAACAAGGCAACGCACTATTTTAGAGTTTGCTAATTGATGTCATCGAATGAACTACTCTAGTTACTCTATGTGTTACTAGAGCTAAAACCCATCTCTTGTACACCTTTTGTAGGAAACTCAACTAGTTTAATGTAACAGAGTCATTTTAAAAAGTTATAAATTTTCCCTTTCCTCATCATGAAAATATTTCTGAGCCTGCCACGAAATATATTTTCACGCCAAAATCGGATAAAAGGATTTGCTGAACTTCAAACACAGCTAAAGCCATATCGAATGATTGGCTACACATTTTCTGCAACTATTTTGGATATTGTATGTCATTAACTAAAACGTATAGATTTGCAGTTTTATCTAATCAGCATTGATAACAATCAATGATAATCTTACGTTGTGGTTGAGTGACGTCAGAACCCTATTGCAATATCGAATAACAAAAGTGTTTTTTTATATTTTCTGTTTTTAATTTTGTTATTTTCTTTAACACAGCTATCACTGAAAACATACTGAATTATTATAGTAATAAATGTTAAAATGAGCGGTCACAGCTCGTCAGCAGAACAGTTTTGTTTTAGGGTCTAAAATAGAAATGATGAGTATTATCATAGATAGGAGTTATTCACCAAATTTTGATGTATTGAAAATTTAAAATTGTGGCTGCAGATGATAAAACGTGTTGAGTGATGGACTCGTGTTTGTGTCTGTTGTTTTCAAGTGTGTTTGTGTTTGCTTTCCACTTATTGGTCTGGCTTATGCCCAACATTTCTATTTAAAATGTATATAGGAGTGCCTGACAAATTAACATGAATAACGGACGAAATACCATGAAACCACATATACCTACAGATTTAATGGTCAAACATTTCCAATGAAAACTATGTTTACGTGGTATGAAAGTACCACTGAAAGAATTGGTTCAAACGGGCAAACGGTTCCAAATGCTATACGGCGTTATTCCTAGACTAAATATCGTACGCGAGAAAAAGTAGTTACTTAAGTTAATTTAAATATGAACTGACTTGTAAATGATTTGTGCCCAGTTTCAAGAACAATATAATAATTATTTATCTTGATGGATAAATCCGTGTTTACCTATGAATTCCGAGTTGAATAAATTCTGAGTTCAAGCTAAATATTGGAACTTCCTCGTCTAGTGAGGTTTATAGAAACACTTATTTTTTAAATACTAATAGGAAAACTAATGCAAACCGTTGTAGCGATTGACTTTGATTTGAGTACAAATTTTAAAGTGACATGATGCTGATGCATAATTTTATTTTCCTTAACTTGGTTAATAGCACAATGCTGCACTCTTGAGTAGTCATTAAATCCGTACAGGTAACAGGCATTGTTACCAAAAAATACTCTAGACCAACTAATGTTTTGCTTAAAAGGTGTACTGATCACAGGATCAGAAATTCAGTTACAGTATTATTGTTTGACTTATTTATCTATGGCCATGAAGCCAAACTAGGTTTGTTACTACTCAAACCGTACTTAGATTTAGTTTGTCTACAACAATGCAAAAATAGTGAACGCTAAAACTCTGGCGGACAATTTTTCACTTTTTAGACTGTACAAAGGCGACGTTAAGAAAGTTTGTTTACAACAATGTAATGGAAGTTTACCACGATGCGAAAATTGTGAAACCAAAACATTGTTAACAATGTTCGACTTCACGAACTGTAAAAGTATTTTTTTTAAGAATATTGTTTACATCAATGGAAAAACAGTGATAACGAAAACCAAAACAAACGGAGAAAGCCCATTGATTTCACGAACTGTACAGGCTCTAGTGAGTACGTTTCGAATATAACAATCGGCATAGTAAATGAATATATTTAAATTTTTTATCCATCAACACCGTTGGCATTTTTTTAAGGAAACGGTCCAAACTGGGATCTAGTTACGATATCGGCGAACTTTTGTTTGTCCCAGTGAAAAGTGGCATCTGAGTCCAATACTATGCTAATCTTATTCGCCTAAATGGTTGCAGTGCTTGCCTCCAGCTATACTAGATGGATTTAATAATATTGCTCATGGCTTAAGAAGCATTTAATTTTAGTCAACAACAAAGCTATAGGCCTACATATCATCTCACACCTACACTCATCTTGCATTCACATTCGCATTCTTTGCTGTCTCAAAGAATTAATTAAACTAAAAACATTGAATGACCAAACTCACGGTTATCTCTACGAAGGACGTCGTCAGTCCAGGAGGTGTCAGAAGGAACACAGTCGACCATACCACCGTCATCGCTAACCTGAAGATCTTTGGACTCCGGGCAGCATTTGTGGACACACTGGAACCTCTTACAGTCTGGGCATAGCAGAGCGACGTACAGCCTCTCCGGTACCAACCCAGGCAGATGTAAGCTGTCCACACACATCTCTCCGCGGGCGAGTACCCAGGGGTCGCCGTGGTCGTCGGTCACCACCACCTCCTCGCCTCGCACCTCTAGGTCGTCTTTGATCACAAATACCTCCTGCCTCACACAGTTGAACTTGCTGCGGTGCTCCAGAAGATAGGATACGTTCATGTCGTTGATGACGACTGTGAGGGTGTCAGGGAGGATGGAGTTGGTCACGTTGTAGTGGAGGTTGACTCCAGCGTCCTCCACGCAAGACTTCCCATCCCCGGCCATCTGCATGCCTGAAGGACAGCATTTCGGCAGCCAAGGTACTTCGGAGGCTAAGGAGTTTGTGAAGAGAAGAAAAATAAACAGCATGTTTACCGAGTGTAAACAAGAGATAATGGACACCGTGATACGCCCATCTCGGACCGAGTCTACCACGTTACTGAAGAAGAGAGAGGGACTAGGGAGTGACGCGCACACCTGTTAGCTTCTGCTAGTCGGTCAGCTGGAGTTGTTTACCTTTGTAGTTCGCGCGCCGGCCACTGGACATCGGCAGCAGCACTGGACAGCATTGTTGTTGATAACGACATTGTTACACGTGTTACACCAGTAGGCATTGTTTAGTAGGCTACACTATTACTATGGAATGAATTATGCTAAATTTAGTCTAAAATGATGCACTGACAATAGTTATTTGTGTAACTAGTGGTGAAAGTGGCACTTTGCTGCACACGAGAGCAATGTTTACGCACGAGCCGCAGGCGAGTGTGGAATGATCTCGAGTGCAGCAAAGGCCTTTTTCACTCGTGTTACACATTATATTTTTCCTACAGTCACTATAAAGCATATAAATAATTAGTCTTTCAAACACTATGCAACACGTTTTTAGGTTCAGCTGGCAACACAAATGGTGCCCTAGAGAAAGTAGTACCCGCGGTCCATATCACTCCGCTATTTTTCCTCGGCAAGAAATGTGCTCCGCGTTTTGAGAATATAGTTCCGTATGTTTTTGTAATTTGAAGTGGTTTCCGCGCATAAAAAAAATGCTTAAAGGTATTTTCTTGTTTATTAAGATCGTAGGAATGTTTTAAAAACGTTTAAAAGAAAAGTCCAGAAAGTTCAGAAATACCGAAACTATAAACACGAAATGACAGGTTAAATCGTAGTTATAATAGTCAATCAGCTGCTCATAGTATAATTATCTTTAAGTGTTGCCAACCTATTTCCAAGCGTACACGGATTACGTGCATAATGGAACCATGGAACCACGCTGTTTTGTGTTGTTTCGTTGGAATCCTGATGTGCGGCAAAGTATAAACCGTACGGCAAAGTATAAATATGCAGCAATTAGCAGCTTTCTGTACTATAAACAGTACAAGGAAGCCAACTTTGTCGGGTGACTGTAGGAAAAAAATATTTTTTCAACACTTGTTTTTTAGATCTTAAATGCTCTATATGTTGAATCTACAAGACAGTATACTGCATACCGTATTTAATTACATTTTGTTATCTGAAATTCTGACAAACATTTTTTAGATAGAGTTTAAAGGAGCCTCTAATTAGCCTTAGGGGCTCAATATTTTCTCAGTTGCATTTAAATCATTTATTTTAATAAGTATTGTAGAGTTTGAATATCAAGTATTTTTGGTGAAGTTAATTAGTTAGTTACAAAGAATACATTAGACCTAAATGCATATACAATGGTTCATTTACTGTAAACAAATAAGGTATGTTATTAAGATATGTATATAGGAATCTCGTTGTTTAAGAGAAAAAAAATTGTATATTAAACTGTAATTTAAGAAAATAATTGAATTTGTTGAATAAATTATACTTCCATATAATAATAGAAATTATTAATTTGTAACAGAAAATTGTAATCTTTGATATAAAAAATAAGTGAAAAAATCACTGTCTTGGATTTTTAAGTTTTCTTTTGAATGTAAGGAAAAGGAAACAATTTAATTTCAGATTTTGTATACTTGTAATCTAAATTAATCGTTTCCAAGAATTTGTGTCTATATTTTCTATTAGCTAACTAAAAAAGAATATAGATATAAAAAATAAATGTGTAAACTTAATTCCAGTACCAAGTTAAGTCTGTTTTAAGACCCAAGTTTTGCATAGCATGTTTAGGCCTAAGCATTTAATACATGATATCTCCAGTTGCCTACTGAGATAATAATTTGCCAATCTTTAAAGTCCTATCTGCTTATCTTTTAAAGGAAACAGTGGAACTAATCAGTTAAGTTGATAAAGAAAATTGTCATTTGAAAACATAAAGAAGCTTGTGTAATCAATCATTTGTAAACCTCGACATTGGTTTTTAATGATTTTGGATCAACTGTGTAGTTTTTAAACAATTACAAACCTCTGAATAGGTCTACTGGTTCAAACCTGAGGGCCAAACTTGCAGCTTTAAAAATTATAAAGTGGCAATTTTAATAAGTCCACTATCCAACTTTACTTAAATATTAATTAAACCCCTTCTTTTATAGGAAAAATGAAGTAGGAAAATAATAAATGCACAAAATAAAATTATTGCTTTTATTAGTCCCTTTGTCTCTGAAAGATAAAAATATACATCTAGATCTCAGTATATCAGGATAGTGTAGAAAACATTCCACGAAATAATTAGTCTATAAAATATTTGGCTCAAAATATAAAAATTATCTAAAAACTATTGGTAACAATTAATTCAATGCTTAGCCTAAAATATACAAGCTAGTCTTACAACAAAAATAAGTACTTAATTCTTACAGATTGTCTAGTACACTTATTGACGATAACAGTAAGTGAAAATAAACAGTGAGAGAATAATAAACAGTGGTAGAAATAAATTTAAAGCACTTGTGAAGGGCTGTAGTAAAAATATAGCAAGCATAATTAATTTAGTTGTTCAATTGTTTAGAGCGAAAAATCCCTTATAGATCAGTACTGTTACAAACAGTGTAAATTACTTTTTCCTACAGTCACATGACAAAGTGAACTTCTTTGCACAGATTATGGTACAGAAAGTTGCTAATTGCTGCATCCATACTTACTTTTGCCGCACCCTTTTACTTTTGCCGCACACCAGTATTCCAACCAAACAACACAAAACAGCGTGCTTTTACTAGGCACGTAATACGTGTACGCTTGAAAATAAGTTGGCAACACTTAAAGATATTACTACGATCAGCTGGTGCAGCTTTCCCATTTCGTTCGATGTTTGGATTTATACCTCACCTAATACGTGTTGTACAGTGTTTGAAAGACTAATTATTTATATGCTTTATCTTAATAGTAATTGTAGGAAAAATATAATGTGTAACGCGAGTGCAAACTGCCTTTGCTGCACTCGAGAAACTTTGAGTAAACATTTCTCTCGTGTGCAGCAAAGTGCCACTTCGCCCACTAGTTGCACAAATAACTCTTACAAGTTCTTTTATTTACATTCTGTCATCACACTCCTAAACAGATGTAAATTAGTTAAATTATTTGGTATTAGGTTGGTAAAACTTCAGCTAGTTGTATAGTAAAACCAGTTATGCTTATTCAATTTGGATTGTCAAATCAAAGTGAACAATCCAAACTTGCAAGTCAATTTGACCATGTATGCAAACATTGGTTCAAATCGGAAGTTCATGCCAGACATTTATCTGGGAGCTTCAGTTCAGTTCAAATCAGCTGTTCATTCAATTCAAACTGTCAAGCCGAATTGAACATGTAGCCTAATAGACTCATGGGAGGAAATTTTTCAGAAGATCAATAATTTAAGTTGATAACAGATTTATCAACCAGAGCCCTCCACAAGTACTAAGTAAGAAGACATCAACTATAGCTAGTTAGATCAGTCAAGTTAGGGTTGGTTTGCTAGGTCTAGACATTCACTATACTAACAAAGGTACAATACTTTGTGCTTAGAAGATCCTATCATTATTGTCAGTTATTTAAAACCTTAATGTCCTTTATAACTATCAACCCATTTCCATTATTAAACTGTTTTTAATGCACTGCTAAATTAAGGTATAATACAGTCTATTAAAAAAAATTGAATAAAAGAAGGTATTGCTTACAGTAAGTTTATTGCTTGTTTTTAAAAGGCTCTACTGTAAATTAGAGGTCTACAAACATTGAAAATTCTTAATTTCTCCACACTAACTCAAAGGGTTAAAGTTAAAACGGTGTTTTTAAAACCATTTAAAACCTACTTTTGTCCTGAAGAAAATGATATTACTTACTACCGGTACTTAGTAAATTCAGAATATTAGGATGCAAATTCCGTTGTAAAAATTAATGTATCTCAATAAATCAAAAGATATATATTTTTAATCTAAATATCTATCTTAGTCTTTAACTTTTTATTTTTTAGTTAGTGATAAGCTAATCTAAAGACGTGCTTCTTCGGTTTTGGAAAATGAAAAGGTATGTGCTCATTTACTTTAATTTATATTTTTTGATGATCTATTTTGACTTAAATATTAAGAAAGGAACTTGTAACAATTGGTACAGTAGTCCAGCAGCTAGCTATACTTTAGTGTGCAAACTTGCGTATACCGGTACTCAATATTCTTGCATAACGTTTTAGTTTGATGTCTAGGGAGTTTAAAAAACCTGGGTGTTTGCCTCCTACCCACCACGTTTTCCGGCTATGACGTAATCAAAATGGCGGCCATTGATTTTTAAAAAGCGTATATTTCGCAAACTATTTGTCGGATCGGAATGAACTTTTTTTTATTTGAAAGATAAGTTTAAATGCTATCTGTTTTACATTTACACATTTGTTGTATGTTTAGTAAATTTTTCGTAATTTTGCAAAAACCTGTATTTTTTTGTGTGTTATTTTTGTTTGTAACGTTTTATTGATACAGTATATCAAAAACCACCAGGGGAAAAAGTTGTAGAACATTTAAAAAGCTTTACAAAAATACCAAATTCGATATGTTTTACTCAAAATATTACGTCAGGAAACTAGATATATCTCATAAAAACACCTATTTTGGCGCAAAAACGCCTATTAGTCCGGCATCTAGGGCAGTGCACAAGTCTTATATAGACAGTTTTACCATTCAATGTTGATGTATGTGTCTAAATAAGTGTTTTCAACTCGGGTGTCACTTCTGCACCCACTGCAGTTTCCGGTTATGACGTCATCAAAATGGCGGAAAGGGCTATATTAAAAATAACTATATTTTACATACCATGTATCGGATCGGAATGAGCTTTTTTTTGTTTAAAAGATAAGTTTACATGCTATCTTTCATACATTTACACTTTTGTTGTATGTTTAGTGCATTTTTCGTAATTTTGCAAAAACCTATATTTTAAAATATTTTTGTGATATTTTTGTTGATTACGTTTTATTGATACAATATATCAGAAATAACTTGAAGAGAAGGTTGTAGCACGTTAAAAGGGCTTTACAAAAGTACCGAA